ATGAATGAATTTTAGGCGCTGGTCATCTTATTGTGAGTCAAGTTGACTGCAGAAATGACGAGGGCTGATTCTGTAGGTCGCGTGATTCTCCCTTAGTCGAAATTTGCGTCTGATCTCGGCCGTTGAGAGGAAACTCGATCCGACGCTCCAAATTCCAACTGTTTTGGGCGAAATTCTTGAGGCCGTTGAGATTCAAATTGATCCGACGGTCGAAATTCCAACTTTTTTGCCACTGGACTTGAGGAGTGTTCGAAAACTGGTTCGAGGGGGACGTTAGAAAATAGCGCGGAACTGGTTTACGTACCCTAAATCGGCGCTTTCCGTCGTCGCCCCCGCGGTTTTAAAAGCTAGGTTTCAGCGGTCGAAAAACTTCGCGTGCAAACAGGCTCTGATTTCCAGGTGTGAGGATCTAGGATCGAGCTCAGAAAGGAGAGTGTGAATTGAATTGAATGATCTACAACACGAGGCTATATATAGGCTCGACACCAGGCCCCGTAACTAGGTGTTACGCGAAGGTTCCGTGGGTCGCGAAGCGTCCCAAACAGATCCTTCCCGAATTCGGTAGAACGCAATTCGGTGGCAACCGAAAAGCCAGAATTCGGTGCACGCAACCTAGCTCGGTGCTATAACTATAATAAAATATAGGAAAGCACCTAGCCTAGGAAATCAAGCAATTCATGCATTCATATGATTATCCTATGCTAGAAATAGCATGATAAAAGTAAAGGCAAGCAAGCATAGCTGGCATAAGCCGTCGTACTCTCACGCTGCTGCTGGGACTACTGGTGATGCTATGACTACTGCTGCTGCTGTGCCATGTACCAACCAACTGCTCCAACAACCGCACTCGGCGGATCCGCAGGCCCACTACCACCTCCAGTGCCATCTCCACTAGACACACTCGTACCGCCACCCCCTCCACCACCACCGCCACCACCACCTCCACCACCACCTCCATCACCACCGCCGCCACCACCCTTTCCACCTCCCTTGCCCCGTTTCTGACCACCAGCGGGAGAAACAGCCGCAGTCTACTCTAAACTAGACGGCGCAGCAGAGGCAAGAGAAGCAGTGAACATGGGAAGTTGCGGTACAGTGCACCCCTCAAAGAGACAGGTAGGAACTGCAGTAATGGCAGCCGCAACAGCAAGGAGGTTGCTCTTGTACTTAGTGAGGGTAGACTCAAGTCGATAGAGAGCCCAATGGGGTGCTTGAGGAGGAGCATGTCGCGAGAAGAGGAGAGGCGGTCAGGGAGGCGAGTGACTAACCAACGGATTGTGAGCCACGTAGGCAGGGGGGTCTATTTGAGCTATTCCTCAGTGCAGGTAGCACGAAAGTTAGTGTCAAGAAAACGGAGGTGGGTGACCAGGTCGAGACAGTCTAGAACGAGCCTAGGACAAGGAAGACAAAGCGCATGAGAAGATGACAGAGGGAGGCAGAGGAAGGGGTGCTATAGCGAGTAACAATAGTGTCATGCTGTTCATTTGCCGTGTCGGCCTGAGAGAAGTGGATGGCCTCGGTCGGCGGGAGAAGGTCGGTGAGGGCGACACAAGCAACAGAGTCATGATACTCCCAGATGTCGCGCGCCAAGTAGAGCGTATCGTAGTCAGCCTGCTGGTCAGCGGTAGGAGGAGGCTCAGTAGGCAGGGAACTAGGTTGCAGATGGGCTGTAAGACAGGCGCGTTGGCATATAGGTGGGCACCATCCTGGCGTTGACTTTTAAGGTGGAAATGGGTTTGGATAAGCCACGAGCTAAACTCGATCGCACGACCCTCGGCGTCGAAACCCAACACTCGGTGCACCATAGTAAAGGCTAGGGATGGAATTCAAATGCTAGAAACGATCGAAGGAAGAAACAAATGGAGTGGAGAACGCCACTCTAGAACCTTAATTTGAGACGCTTCGCCGCCGAAACCCTAAGTTCTACACGTAGTGTGGGGATTGGAGGGTCGGAGCGAAACCCTAGGTAGGAGTGGCCTCCAGCCGCGATGAGGAGGGTCAGTGGCAGGAGGTACGGTGTGGTAACTGCCGCATTGGACTGACTGGAGGCAGGGGCAGCATGCGTGGCTGCGGTATGGGCGGCCGCCGTGCGTACGCGTAACGCGGCGGCTGTGGAGCGGGCAGCCATTGCTGTGCATGCGCATAGTTGCTGCTATGCATGGGCACGGGTGCGGCTACAGGTGCGGCGGTGGCTGCCGCGCGTGCATGTGGTGGCGGCGGCTGTGGCTGCCATGCGTGTGCGTGGCAGCGGATGCTGCGCGTGCGAAGGTGGTGGTGACGTGCGCGGCTGCAGCTGTATTGTTTGCTGCTATCGCGCACGCTGTGGCGTGCGGGCAGCTGCTCGGGCTCGGTTGCGTGTACGCAGCTTCAAGCGCGCGGCTGAGTGCGTGCTGTTGCGCCTACGCGGCTGCGAGTACGCGGCCGTGTGTGCGCTACTGTGCGTGCGGGCGGGGCAGCGCGTAGTACGGGACGGGGTGGGGCGGGTCAGTAAGCGGGACGGGATGAGGCGGGTGTAGCGCGCGGAACAGGGCGGGGCAGCGCGAAGCAGCACAAAGCAGTGCGCTGACGGGCAGGGTGATGCCTTCGCACGGGACGGGGTGGGGCTTACGAACGGGACGGGACACATCGTACAAACGGGCGAGTAGTCTAGGGCTAGGACGTAGTCGTGATACCATGTTAAAGTTAGGGATGTGGAACAGTGTGACTAGTAAGATACTAAGATGGATGATACAAATACCAAACCTAGAATGTGCTGTACTCCCTACAGTGCTACTCACTATAGCCTATCATGATTGCTAGAAATAGGGATGTTGTACCATTGAAAATGTCGCAGCCACAAAGTGACAACGATAATGTATTAACATTTGACAATTCCGCTGTTCCCTTTCTGAGAGATAATGTTATTTGATATTTGAGAATGTTGTCATGGAGAGAATGACACTATACTGAATTAACAACTGGTATCAAACATCCATGGTAGAACACCTAGTGAGTGTACCATAAGGCTCCTCAACAACTATCCGAACATATAAAAGAGTAAAAAAGTTGAAGCAATCACACCAAATGTGGTTACTGAAGCCTGCTTGCTCCCAGCCTTGTCGTCGAGATAGTCGAAGTCAAACGGCTCGATATAGTCACCGTACTCATAGTCCTCATAGTAGATAACTGGATACACGAGCGGTCTGAAACCTCTTAAAGACATCTTGGGCCGTCTACCAGAAGTGGTGCGGCGAAAATAAATAGACGCTGCGATGCTGCTGACGCGTCCCCTTTCCCCGCGACTGCTACTGCTGCTGCTGCTACTACCGCCACTGCTCCGGCTGCTGCTTCCGCTGCTGCTGCCCCTGCTGCTTCCGCCCCTGCTGCTGCCGCCGCGACCCCCGCCATGACCACTCCCGCCCCCGCCGGCTCCACCGCTCCCGCCTTTCATGACTCTTCTGCTATGAGCACTGCTGCTGTTTGCGATTCCTTCTATAGCGAGCATGGCCTGTGGTTCAGGTTGTGGGTGGGTGTTCATGTTGTTCGGAATAAGCAGATTTTGAGAAAGGGCTGGTGTATCTGGCGCGTGCTGGTTCCGTGCGTTATACGCGGTATTAGGGAGTGCAGTAGTGGCGAGAAGAAGCTGGGACAGTAGCAGGAGGAGTGCAGATGCTGAAAGCGCGTCCCGGAAGGGCGACGAAGCAGCCCAGACCGTAGCCATGAAGAACGAGTCGTATCGATAACCCAGCAAACGAATTTACACGTGTTTTTAGCTCCGCCTGTCAGGAGTTTCGTTGGTGGCTTCACGGTTAAAAAACAGGTTTCAAGCGTCTGAAAACTTGTCTCGTTTCGTATCCGGCGTTATGGTGGAAATTTGAAGCTTATTCTTCCGTTTCAATGATTCTCGCGGCACGCCCTAGGTTCCGCGAGAAGCAGAGGCAGGAAAGAAGTGCAGAGCGCGACGGCGATCTCCGAGAGAGGCAAAATGGCGGAATGAAGTAGAGCAAACTTGGAGAAAAACGCTACGAAACTGATATGTTAGGAAAGCAAGGGCTTGGTCGAGAGCCGTTCGAGTGTGCTCGGGTCGGAAAGGAAGTGTTTGCTCAGGTTGGAAAATGCATTCACAGTGTATTTGTGCTGCAGCACGTGCGCTGCGCCTCCCACAAAGCACTGGGGGGGAGATCAGGAGAAGGGCTGGAAAAAAAGGAAGGCGGGCGCGAAAAAAGGAGGGAAAGGGGGAAGAGGAGGTTCTGGCTGGAGGAAGCCGCGGAGTGGGGAGGAAGCAGGGGGGATGGCGTGCAACGCAGGTAATGCCGTCAATTCCTGGGGTGCGCTCCGCGTGGTAAAGGTAAGGTGCGAAGAAAGATGGAGGTGATGGAATGGGGGAATGTTCCAGCATGGTAAGGCCCGGGTGCAAATTTCCAAATTCGCTGCCTCTGTTGTGTTTGTGATGTACAGATGTAACTTCGTCTCGAAAAGGTGGACCTGGACGCTTCATTGCTGCAAACATTATTACGACGAAATCGCAGCTGTTCGTGAAAACTTTGCAATGTTTTCAACAAGACTCAAGAGTAACTTCATTATTCTGGCCCCAAATCTGCATGAAGCAAATGGCTTCGAGATCCTTTGAACTAGGGTGACTCGACCCCGCTAGTCAGCTGATACGATGTTCCATATCGTCGGTCGAATACGGCTTTCAGAACAGAGCTCGAGACACCCAATTTGCCAGGCGAAGCTCGTGCAGTGAGGTTACGTGCTGAACGAGACAAAAAGCCCCAGGTTGACGAATGCACGAAGATTTCAGTTATCGTTTTCGTCACTCGCGTCTGTTTCCCTCGCTTGTATGCACGCAGTCCGAACACAACACTGTAGGTGTAACTATAGCCACGATCTAGCTCGGCGATCGAATTTGCGAAAAGAATGCGAGGAGCGCAATCCGGATGGAGCGTATTTTGATAAGCATTTGTGTTTCGTAAACGTATTGCGCATGCACGCACTTCCCCTTCCCCTATCTTCCCCGCATGGCTCCGCCGGTCGCCGCGCAGGCCGCGGGTGCCTTCCAGCGCAGGTGCATGCCTCCCCTCACGCCCTCTTCCCCTCCGCATCCAGCGCTCTCCTCGTTCTCTCCGCTTTTTACGCCGCGCCTCGGTGAATCGTTGTCGGAATATGCGTGTCGGGCGGAATCCCCTTTAAATTCGTCAGCGAAACAAAGGCGTGTTCAGAGTAGAAACTCGGAACTCGCGAAATCCGCGCGACACGACGACGCCACGTGGCAGGTTACCGGTGGGCAGATCAACGGCAGGGGGAGATCCGTACGGGAGCGGCGGAACCGGCGTGAGCTTCGCATCAACGATCGAATGCAGCAGTGTCAGTGCCCGCTCAACGACGAAGCTTCCTCTGCTGGTTCCTCTTCCGACGCGACTCGCGATCAACCCGCGTCTGCCCGCATTTCCTCATCTGCCTCATTTCATGACCTCCCCGCTTCCTCCTCTTCCGCCTCCTCCTCTTCCGCCTCCTTCCTTTCTTCCCCTTCGTCCCTCCCCCCAACCACTCTTCCCCACATTGCCTCATCCCCCTCTTCAGACCACCTGCTTGCTTCCTCCGCTTCTCCCCCCGCCACTGCTCCCCTCTCCTCCTCTCCCCCCTCCACTTCCCCATCCGCCCCCGCTCCCGCGCCCGTTAACCTCCCCCTGCTCTCCGCATCTCCGCCCCCGCCCTCCTCCCCCGCGCCCTCCACTCTCCCCACTGCGCCGCTCCCCTTAGGCCCAGGTAGGCGGATAAGGGTAAAAGGTGGAAGCTTTGTAAAGAACTTGAGGGTAAGACAGAACATTGACAAAGGTCTAGGGGAAAATTATGGGATTGTGGGGGAGAGAGAGTGGGTGCAAGGGGGAGGAATGTGAGGTAGGGGAGGGGACCTGCCCTGGGCTGGGCATGTGAGGGACCTGGATTTTTTTGTTTGTTTGTTTGTTTTTTTTTTTTTCCTGCCCACCCTTTTTTCTAATCTCGATCCATTGAGCTGTATTTTATTCCTGGCCGTTGATGGCTCTGTTGATTCTCCGTTACTCCCCTCCTCTCTCCCCATCAGCCCCTCGCCTCTCTCATTCACTACCTGTTGACTGGCGTTGACTGGTTGGCTGGCAGGGCACTTTGAGTATCTGCCGCTGAAGGCTCCTTTCCGCATGGCCATGGGGGTGCAACCCATGGCGATGGATGACTGGATACAGGTGCGTTGACCCGCGTTGACTGGAGTTGACTGGATACAGTACTGTGCGTTGAACCGCGTTGACTGGTGTTGACTGGATACAGGTGCGTTGTCCCGCGTTGACTGGAGTTGACCAGATACAGGTGTGTTGACCCGCGTTGACTGGAGTTGACAGGATACAGGTGCGTTGTCCCACGTTGACTGGAGTTGACCGGATACAGGTGTGTTGACCCGCGTTGACTGGAGTTGACTGGATACAGTACAGGTGCGTTGACCAGCATTGAACCGAATGGACTGCTGTCTGTTCCTCTATCGGCATGAGATGGCTGTGCGGAAGGCCATTCTCGCACATACTCTCATCCCTTTCTCCCTCGTTTTTCCCTCTCGGCTTCCCCATTTCCCTGCTGGGTTTCTCTCTTCTTCAGATCGACCCCTTCTACCGGCAGGAGATGGCTTTAAGAAAAGGCATTCTAGCGAATCACCGGAGCACAGTCATTGGCAGGATTGGGGGGGAGAGGGGTAGGGGGGAGTGTGTGGGGAGCAGGGGGAGAGATGAAGGGGAGTGTGAGGGGGGGAGAGTGAGGGAGGGAGGTGGGGAGTGGGAGGGGGAGGGAGTGAGGGAGAGAGTGAGGGAGGCGGAGTGGGAGTTACTACACATGCTGGCGGATTTTCTGCCTTCCCGATTCCCACACATGTATGTGTGGTAGGACCCTAGAATAGTTCTGGTTCCTGTTTTTTTTTCCACGATCCCGATTCCCACATATGTATGTGGTGAGTCGTCCCTAGGATAGGTGTTACTCTAGTGTCGTGACTCTCGAGTCGGCTCAAAGGGTGACTTTTGAGTCGGCTCAAAAGCCTTTCCGATTCCCACACATGTATGTGGTGAGTCGTCCCTAGGATAGGTGCAACTCTCTGACTTCCCTCCCCACATACCTATGGGAGGTGGGGTATGTGGCAGTCCCCTCCTTCCACTTCCCCAGCCTCTCCCATGGCATGGCCCAGCCTCTCCCTCGCACAACAGCACCTGCACAACCATGGTACGGGTCATGATTCACAACCATGGCACGGGTCATGATTCACAACCATGGCACGGGTCATGATTCACTCGACCTCCCTAATTACTGACACCACCCCGCCATTCCTTTGCACCTCCCTTCCCCTCTTCCCATTCCCACCTTTCCTCTCCCCCAGCTTCTCTTTCTCACACCATCATCTGCACAACCATGGCACGGGCGATTCATTTGACCTGTCAGATTCAACACAAGACCCTCTAGAGATCATTGCACAACTCATACAGGTGATGATGGTTTGGTGCCTTTGATATAGAGTGAATTCGATAGTGACTAAAATTTTCACGAAATCCTCTCTAGAGGTCATCGCCGGTGCCTGTCGGATTCATCACAGGACGACCCTCTAAAGGTCATTGCGCAACTTATGAAGGTGATGATGGGTTGGTGGCTGGCTTGGCAGTGAGTACATTCGATAGTGAGTGAATTCGATATTGAGTGAGTGCCTCTGTTGTCGGATTCATCGCAGGACCCTTTTTGTTCCCGGTGTCCTTATGAATTCGCATTCATTATCGAATTCACTCAATGCCGAGCCCCGTGTCCTTTGCTCCCCGTGTCCTTGTTAATCTGCTCATTCTTGCAGGAGGATGTGTGCCTCATGCTCCCTTGCCCTTCCTCTGGCTTATCTCACTCTCATACTTCCTTCTCGTTTGTTGTTGTCTCTTTCTTCCCCTTCTCATCTTTCATCTGCTCATTCTTGCAGGAGGATGTGTGCCTCATGCTCCCTCGCCCTTCCTCCTCCTCCCCTTCCTCCCATTCCTCCTCCTCCCCCACTTCCTCTTCCTCTCCCTCCACCTCTTCCTCTTCCTCCACTCCTCCCCTCTGCCTAGTCTCCGGAGCTGTTCTCTTTCCAAACGGCTGGATTCTGCCCGAAAAACTCGGGCTGCCCACCGCTCACATTCACACACCCGTGCCTCTATACGAGTCGACAATTTCTAGGGCAGTTGACAAATTTCTGAACAACCTGGAGCCGGGAAGCCCGTTTGCTCGCACCAATTGGACGATAACCGACGACCCGCGGCTGTTCCGGCCGATTTCAGAGGTTCGTTGTGTTACTGAACAGAACACACACTCATGAGTTGGTTTTTCTCCATTCACAAATGTGTTCAGCAGTGAGTTTTATCTTTCTTTTTGTCCAGTGAAATAAAGGTTCTCCACTGAAAACTATGTGTGGCAGTCCGTCTTGTTAGGGTAACTGAGTGCTACATTACTCTTCACTGCCGCTGAGTGCATGTTTTCCTCCTTGTTTTGGTGCCATTGCTGCCACTGCTGCCCCTGCTTACCCCCACTTGCCTCCACATGCTGCCACTGGTGTGGGTGGGTGCTACAGGCGTCATATGCCTCGATGGTGCAGGCCAAAGCAGGGCTGTCAGAACAGAGGCTTCAAAAAGAGCAGCAGCAGCAGCAGCAGCAGCAGCAGCAAGAAGGGGAGCAAGAGGAGAAGGGTGGTGATGCGATAACAGTGGAGAGTGCTGGATGGAGGCTCTTCACTCGCAGTGAGAGAGAGACGTTCGTGCGCCTGCCCAAGTGAGTGGTACTCTTCATTTGGGGGGAGGAGTCAGTACGCAAAGGCCGCGCAGAGAAGAGACTGAAGGGGGAGCGGAAGAAACGGGAAAAGAGAAAGAGATGAGAGGGGAGAAGGAAGAGGCGCGTGGGGGTGAAATTGGTGGGAAAGGAGAAAGAGATGAGGATGGGAAAGAGGACAAGGGAACGTGGGGAGAGGATACAGCGAAGGGGAAAGAGGAAGAGGCAGGGGGGGAAGAGAAAGAAATGGAAAGGGAAAAGGGTGAGGAAAAAGAGGAAGGGATGGGGGAGGCAGGGGTTTCTGGTACTCAATCACTCAGCACTCACTCTTGGTACCAACCATATGGGAGAAGGAGTGATATGGTTGGTGCCCCACACTTGCTCCTCCTCTTCCCTCCGCTCCCCATCCCACCTCCTGCTCCTCCCTGCCCCTTCCCCTGTCTCCCTCTCCCCTCCCCCCTTTCCCCACCCTCCCACCTGCCCCTCACCACGTGGGCAGTACTGATCACCCTTCCCCACCTTTCCCCACCCTTCCCCCTGCCCCTCACACATATAAACATATTCCTCTTCCATGTCCCCACCTTCTCCGCTCCCCACCCGATCCCCCCCACCTCCTTCCCCCTTCTCCTCCCCCCGCACTTACTCCAGGACGGGGGCGGTACTGTTCATCATCCGCACGCACATGAAACCACTTCTTCCACCCCAATCCATTGCCCATCCATGTCCACTAGCTCTTCCCTTGACTTTTTGAGTCGACTAAAAAATTGACTTATCACGCACATGAAACCACTACTCCCGCCCCAATCCATTGCTGATCCATGTCCACTTAACTCTTCCCTTGACCCTCCCACTCCTCCCCTCTCCCCTCGCTCCGCCACTCCCCACCCCCTCCAGGACCGGGGCGGTACTGTTCACCATCCGCACGCACATGAAGCCGCTGCGAGTGTTTTCCGGGTGGCGCCAGCTGGCTGCTGACGTGGTGCGGGCCATGGATGCGCTGCCAGGCGAGATCAGGCGGTACAAGATGATTGGAGGGCGGCTTGCTGATGTGGCACGAGAGTATCTGATTCGATGCTCAGAGGGGCTTGCGTAGTGAATCAGATTCCAGATTGGTAGCTCGCATTGTACTGTACATAATGTTTAATTGCTACAAATTTCAACGTGTCATATTGCTTACACAAGAACTAGATGTACCAGTATTGATGGAGTCTCAATTGTCTAGCCAACAGTCTCCAAGCTTCAACGATTTCTGGTGTATGCGTGAGTGTGCTGCTGATGATTGGGGCTCGGGCTTCAGTGTGAACACAACTACTACCCCCAGCAAGTCAGGAAGGTACAGCAAGTCAACAGCGTGACGGAAGTGAGGAAGGAGGAGAGTGAAGGGCTCAGCTGTGTGAGCTCCATCTGATCCTTGAGACACCCCGCGTACTGCTCTCGGATGCTCTTCCACTGGTTTGGCGTGGGAGGGAGGTCAGCAAGTCAGGAAGGTACAGCAAGTCAACCGGACCATCCAGGTGGCCAAATTTTGTCATATCAAATCAAACTGTAGATGCTCCTTTTTTTAGTAATTTGACACTAGATTAGGTGAAGTGAATGCTCGACAGCAAAATCTGAGCTTGAATCACAAGATGGAGGAGGTTGGGAATGGTATCAACAATGCAATGAAGTCAACATCCCTCAATCCATACATATCAATGCATGAAAAAATCTCATTCAACCCGACAAAGGTTCAAGTGATGGGTGACCGCAAGTTCAACCAGACACCACTACTACAGCACTACATACCATATCTCTACTAAAGCACCAAGTAAACGCATGATCCCAACAGTTTCAACATGGGGGTTCTTTAGCAGCGGTCGGAGGATGGGTTGCCGACTGCTTCCATCATAGGCCGATACTTGTCCTGGTGGGATTGCATTGCATGCACACATGCCAATATGAGCAGACATGCCAACATGCACACAGGATGGACACCCGCACCCATGCACACATGCAGACACGGCGTGCAACCGCATGGAGACATGCAACAAGCATTCCAAACAAAAGGGAACCGGGAGTTGAGAGAAAGCCTGTACAGATTGCCCACTGCATTATCAGAGTCTTGAGTATTCTTACGAGAGCTATATCCCAGTGTGCAGTGTGGTATATACGTAAATGTAAATGTGGTAGGTATAGTATACATGTAGAGAATAACAGCTCACCAGCATCTGAGTGTACTTGTCCCGTGCATATTCAGTGAGCTCCAGGTCAAGAGCATTCAGCTCCTTGATGCGCCTCATCACGTCCTCTGGTATGCGCGCGCGCTCCTGATAATGCAGGTGGCAGTGACGGCCATGGGGACATTGTGGCAGTGAGATGGGCGGGAGAAAGGGTGAGAGCAGGATGTAGTGGGCTCTTTCAAGTCGAGACCGTTGAGCTCCTTGATGCGACTCATGGCGACCTCCGCGCGCGCCCGCTTCTGGTGTGGGATGGACAGGGAGGGAAAGAGACGGAGAGTCGGAGTGGGATGATGTAAGCTTCACGTTCAGCTCCTTGATGCGCCTCATCACATCTTCTGGTATGCGAGCGCGCTCCTGATGGTCATGGTGATGGTGATGGTGATGGTGATGGTGAGATGGGGACATTATGGTCGTGAGATGGGCGAGAGAATGGGTGGGAGCGGGATGGAGTGAGCTCTTTCAAGTCAAGAGCGTTGAGCCGCTTGATGCACCTCATCACGTCCTCTGGAATGCGCGCCCAGCTCCTGAGAGGGATGGTGACATTGGGACAGTGAGATGGGCGAGAGAGAGAGGGAGGGAGTGAGATGGAGTGAGCTCTGCATTCGGCTGCTTGATGCGCCTCATAACTTCTGCTGGTATGCACGCTCGTTCCTGGTGTGGAATGGAAAGAGAGAGAACGAGACAGAGATTGGAGCGGGATGTAAGGAGCATCGCACGGCAGGCAGCATACGTGCCTGGAGAACTTGAGCAAACCTGTGTGGTGAAATGCAATGAGCTGTGGTGTGATTTCATGAAGCCACACCACACTTTCACGGACCATGGGTTGGGTGTAAACTGGTACATCATGTGTGCATCTCCCATCAGCGGACCTGTCGGGAGAACTTGAGCGGTCCCATGGGGCAGAAGGCAAAGCCCTGAATGCAAGTGTGCACTTCAATCAAACCACAGCATACCTGTCACATCATATCGCAGCAGCGTACCTGTCGGGAGAACTTGAGAGGCCCCATGTGACGGAAGGCAATGAGTTCATTCAGCTGAGTAAGCTCCATCTGATCCTTGAGACATTCCGCGTACTGCTCCCTGATGCTCTTCCACTGGTGGGGGGGAGGGAGGTCAAGGGAGTCAACAGGGTCAACGATGTCAGGAAGGAAGAGAGGAGAGTGAGGGGCTCAGCTGTGTGAGCTCCATCTGATCCTTGAGACACTCCGCGTACTGCTCCCGGATGCTCTTCCACTGGAGGGGGTTCGAGGGTGAACGGGGTCAAGTCAAGGAAATGAATAAAGTTAACGAGGTCAGGAAGGCAATTAGCTCATTCAGCTGAGTAAGCTCCATCTGATCCTTGAGACACTCCGCGTACTGCTCCCGGATGCTCTTCCACTGGAGGGGGTTCGAGGGTGAACGGGGTCAAGTCAAGGAAATGAATAAAGTTAACGAGGTCAGGAAGGCAATTAGCTCATTCAGCTGAGTAAGCTCCATCTGATCCTTGGGACACTCCGCGTACTGCTCCCTGATGCTCTTCCACTGAAGGGGGAAGGGAGGTCAAGGGAGTCAACGGGGACAATGGTGTCAGTCAGCAAGGAGAAGAGCGGAGGAACAAGCTGTGTGAACTCCATCTAGTCCTTGAGACACTCCCTGTACTGCTCCCTGATGCTCTTTCACTGGTGGGGTGGCAGTGGAGTGGGTGTAGACCACGGGGTCAAGGAAGTCCAATGAGTCAAGTGAGCAAGGAGGCGAATAAGGGAACAAGCTGTGTGATCTCCATCTGGTCCTTGAGACACTGCCCGTAGGATGCTCTTCCACTGGTGGTGGGGGGGGGAGTGCAAGGGTCAAGGAAGTCAATGGGGGCAAAGCTGTCAAAGAGGTAAAAGGGGTCAATTGGGTCAACGGGGTCAACGGGGTCAATGGGGCCAGTCAGGTCAGGTAAGAGGTGCAACCACTGGTTTCGTCTCATAACAGGTGTGCATTTGACCCACACCAATAACCCATCAGAATGCCTGACGACGTGATAACAAACTGTTTTTGGGACGTCTCAAAAACAACCACTGGTTTCGTCTCATAACAGGTGTCCATCTGACCCACACCAATAACCCATCCTAATGCCAGACGCCGTGATGACAAATTGTTCTCGGGACGTCTCAAAAAATAACCACTGGTTTCGTTTCGTCTCATAACAGGTGTGCATTTGACCCACACCGATAACTCGTCGGAATGCCAGACTCAAGGAGAGCACTCACCGGCCTCTCGTTCTCCTTGGCCTTCTTCTTGGGCCTCTTGCACCGCCCCCTGGGGTTCTTGCCTGCTCGCATGGAGGGGCATGCGGGTGGGGGGCATGCGGGCACGGGGGTATGGGGCATGGGGTTATGGGGCATGGGGGTATGGGGCATGGGGCATGGGGCATGGGGCATGGGGCATGGGGGTATGGGGCATGGGGCATGGGGGTATGGGGCATGGGGATGGCTTATTACATGGCATGTCTCGGCCACCTGCACCGCCCCCTCGGTCTTGCATGCTCGCATGGGGACATGGGGGCATGTGTGCACATGGGTGATATGGCACATGGGCGATATGGCACATGGGTGATATGGCACATGGGCGATATGGCACATGGGTGATATGGCACATGGGTGATATGGCACATGGGTGATATGGCACATGGGCGATATGGCACATGGGTGATATGGCACATGGGTGATATGGCACATGGGCGATATGGCACATGGGCGATATGGCACATGGGCGATATGGCACATGGTGATATGGCACATGAGTGATATGGCACATGGGTGATATGGCACATGGGTGATATGGCACATGGGCGATATGGCACATGGGCGATATGGCACATGGGTGATATGGCACATGGGCGATATGGCACTTGGGTGATATGGCACATGGGTGATATGGCACATGGGCGATATGGCACATGGGTGATATGGCACATGGGCGATATGGCACATGGGCGATATGGCACATGGGCGATATGGCACATGGGTGATATGGCACATGGGTGATATGGCACATGGGTGATATGGCACATGGGTGATATGGCACATGGGCGATATGGCACATGGGCGATATGGCACATGGGTGATATGGCACATGGGCGATATGGCACATGGGTGATAAGGCACATGGGTGATATGGCACATGGGCGATATGGCACATGGGTGATATAGCACATGGGCGATATGGCACATGGGCGATATGGCACATGGGCGATATGGCACATGGGTGATATGGCACATGGGTGATATGGCACATGGGTGATATGGCACATGGGTGATATGGCACATGGGCGATATGACACATGGGCAATATGGCACATGGGTGATATGGCACATGGGTGATATGGCACATGGGTGATATGGCACATGGGCGATATGGCACATGGGCGATATGGCACATGGGTGATATGGCACATGGGCGATATGGCACATTCGTTACGTCGCACACAAGTGGTGCAGCACCGGGTACTATGGCACATGACCTACATGCCCCATGACCTACATGGCACATGACCTACATGCCCCATGACCTACATGGCACATGACCTACATGCCCCATGACCTACATGGAACATGACCTACATGCCCCATGACCTACATGGCACATGACCTACATGCCCCATGACCTACATGGCACATGACCTACATGCCCCATGACCTACATGGCACATGACCTACATGTCCCATGACCTACATGGCACATGACCTACATGGCACATGACCTACATGGCACATGACCTACATGGCACATGACCTGCATGGCACATGACCTGCATGGCACATGACCTGCATGGCACATGACCTGCATGGCACATGACCTGCATGGCACATGGGTGAGCGGAAGCATACCAGGGAGGGTGAAGGCCTGG